ATGGACCATGCCAAATCGGGTCAAGTACATGCCAATTAAAGTTATGGACTTAGACACTAATCCAACAACTCCTACACGTAAAAAATCTACTTTAATTACCCTTCCATAATTATAACCCCTTACGGATCAACTTTGGTCAAAGTCAAAGTCACAGTCAACACCCTGGTCAAAGTCAGCCTTCTGGTCAAAGTCAACATCATGGGTTGACTCAACTCGCCGAGTTGGTCCATCAACTCGTCGAGTTCCATGAATCATAAACCCTGAAATTGCGATCAAACTCGTCGAGTTCTTTCACAACTCGTCGAGTTGCTCCTATCAATAGAATCAGGACTTCTCCAGTCGACTCGTCTAGTCATCCTTGAACTCGTCGAGTTTTGCTCTTAACAGAATCGGGACACTTCGACCCAACTCGTCGAGTTCCTCTATGGACTCGACGAGTTCTTCAGTTTGTTAATCCATCTTAAGGAATTAAGTCCTCATCCTTCAGATCTAAGCTCCATACTTCAGATGCATACTAAAAATGTCATTTTAAGTGTAAACTTTCCACCTTTACCCGTTAATACTCTTCCTTAATGGATTTAGCTCAAACCCTAACTCTTTAAGACCTAGATCTTGCTCCAAAAGCCATAATACTTCAAACTAAGGCATACAAACTGAGATCTAGACCTTAAACACTACATGAACACGTAAAGTCTCAGAATTTCTCTCCATGCATGGCCTTTTGGAGCTTAAAAGGCCAAAATGACATCCTAAAGCTTGCATGGGGCTCTAATGGCCATAAAGTTTGCACCTTTATGTCATGAAAGCCTTAAGGTCCTAGATCTGGAAGTATACTCACTTGGGACGTCCATTTTCCTAGGATCAAGGTATTTGGACCAAAAACTCAATAAAAGTGAAGATGAAGAGATCTAAGTAATCATTAAGCAAGTTTGAGACTTGCTTACCAGAAAATGCTGCAAATGGAGTGAAGTTTCTGGATCTACTATCTTATTCTTGAGTCTTCATGCTTCTTCTCCTTCCACAAGCTTCAAATGCACAAGTTTCTATAAAAAATGACTCACAAGCTCACACAAGGCACTAGGGTTTCGAGATTTAGGGTTTGGGACTTGGAGGCTGTAAATGAGGCCAGCCTTTGGAGTTTAAGGTGTTTAAATAGGGTGTTAAACCCTTAAAAATAGGGTTTCACTCTGGAAGTCCTACTCGTCGAGTTGAGGCTCTCAACTCGTCGAGTAGACTTTACATCCCGCGTCCAAATTCCATTCCTACTCGACGAGTTTGGGGCCTCCAACTCGTCAAGTTTCTATACAAAAGTGAAAAAGTTTTGATTTAAAAATACATACCAGGAACCGGACGTTACACCTCATTTCCAAGACAAGATTGATAAGACTATATTATTAAGAGTAAATTACATAGGTGCATGTGGTTTGGGATAGTTTGTGTGTTTGGTCTCTATTTTTTTTATTTATTAGTTTTTTATGGTTTCGTTTTGTTTTTGATATCTATCAGATATGGAATGAGTATTTGAGCATATCGATTTTATTTTTAATTTATTTATCGATTGTCTTTTATTTATATTTTTAACAAAAGTTGGGTCCACAGCCCCACCTTATACCATCCGACCCCATTCATTCTATACCTATCTCTTTCCCTATCTCTTAGCAAATTAAAAAGAGAAATTTCATCAAATGGCCAAAGGGAAGAGGGTGTTTGAACATTTTTAACCATGAAAAATGGAGTTTTGTAGAATGACCATGACTTCTGCAGAAGGGGGCTCTGTGGAAGCCTTAAACCTTCTGAGGAATGTGAATAGCAATGAGGAATTGAGGTGGCAGGGGATAAAGACAAAAAAAATGTATCTTTCATACTTTCGCAGAAGCGGAAATGGTGTTGTCTCTGCGGATCGTTAATCTCTCTGAGAAAATGGTTGCTGAAGAAATTAAATCGATTCTGATAGTTCCGCAGAGGACTCAATGGTTATGCAGAAAGGTCCTCTGTGGATCTGTTCTTCAGTTACACAGCTCTGAGGAACTGTTCTTCAGAGCACCCATGAAAAAAATCTAGATTTGCTAGCTGTTTCTTATCAATTGAACTAACATACACTCTAAAGACCATATAATGGATTCAATTACACATATAGAAATCAAATAACACATCAAATAACAAATAATATGACCGATTCGGACTTTCGCAACAACCCAATTAGAATCTGTTTTTTGTGAATTTACAAAAATACCCCTAAAACCTCAATTCCTCAGTGAGGGTCGGATTCCTCGGAAAGTTTAAGGCTTTCGCAGAGCCCCCTCTGCGGAAGTCATGGTCATTCTACAAAACTCCATTTTTCATGGTTAAAATGTTCAAACAACCCCTTCCTTTTAGTCATTTGATGAAATTTCCTTAAATCACCATAGTCATCAGAAACCTTCAGGCTCCAACAACCATAGTCACTGCTTTTGTCATCGTCAACCCTCATTACACAGTAAAACTCTTCATTGTCATCGTCCATCAGGAGAAAGACAAAGAGGGTGATAGAAGAAAGGAATTAGAGGCGTCTAGGGTTTATTGGTTGGAGTGTTGTTGTCATCGTGAGAAAGTAAAGAGAGTGATATCTAAAACCAAAATCTATAGACCCTTGCTGTCATCTGGTTCCTCGAGTTTCTCTCCTCTCTTTTCTATCAACGAAACCAAATATATAGAGTGAGACTTGAAACCAAAATCTATAGAGTCCCATTGTGATCTGGTTCACCAAGCTTCTCTCCTCTCTCATCTATCAACAAAACCAAATATAAAAAATGGTTTTTATGGGATTTTGTGGATTTGATGGCATAAGATTTCAAATTTGGAACATTGAATTCATTAATGGGGTTGTGATTATGTAAGACCAGATTTTGTGTGTGTTTGTGATTTCTATTTGATCGGATTTTTTGGTTTTGAGATTTTACTTTCATCAAATATTGATTTTGGTTTGGTAGGAGGGGGAAAAGGTGGGATTCTTGTACGACCTTAAATTGATTGTATGTTGATGTTTTTTTTTTAATTTCATAAAATAGAGAATAAATAAATAATAAAAACAAAAAAATATATAAATTAATGTCCAGGGTAATAAAGTCATTTTGGGTCTGGCATAAGACGCACGTGACAAATACAAAGTCAAAAAAATAAAAATTAAAAACCAAATATATAAACTACCCCAAACCAAACCAGAGACCATTAGTGTAATTTACTCTGGTTTTATTTTACCATTTAAATCTATCAATGACGTCTGTAATAACGTCAGTCATTAACAAATAATATTTTTGAAAATTCATTTTTCTACTTGAACAAGTGTCAAGACAGATCTCTATATTGTCCGTACACATTTTTTTAAATATTACATATATCTTAGATATTTATCATATAAAATTTTATACGATGAAAGCGACAGCTACCATTTTATAATAATTAAATAGGAAATTGTTATTTACTAGAATAGTGAGGAAGTAGAAGTCTAGAAGCAAAGGTGGATTGTGTGCATATATACCCAAGCATTGATTAGTTTCCAACACAAGAAAAGAAAGCAAAGTCCAAATTAAGAAATGGGAAGGTCTCCTGTTCCTCCAAGTTCCAATCAAAGTAACCTCAAGAAAGGTGCATGGACCACTGAAGAAGATCAACAGCTTATCAACTACATCCAAAATCATGGCCATGGAAGCTGGAGATCCCTTCCTAAACTCGCTGGTCATTCATCTCTCTCTCTCTCTCTCTCTCTCTCTCTATATATATATATATATATATATATATA